AAGTGAAGGGTGAAAGCTTCACTCAGGGCTGGATGGCAGAGGCTCAGTGCCTGGAGGATGAGTTTGAACAGCCAGATACCAGGGCTATTAAAGGGGCACAGTGTGGGAACATAAGGATCAGGGATGCCTTAAGGCAGCAATTTGAGGCTGAAAGTCACTAATATTTGTTGCTATGCTCGGGATTGCAGTGCTTGTAACGCTAGGAGGTGATTGGTGCACATGATGTAAGAAGGGGCCTTAACATAATTGTATGTTGCTTTGTAGTGCTCTTTTTGCTTTCATTTCATAGAATAAAGATTGCTTTCAAACCAACACAATTCTTTTATTAAAAGACAACAACCGGAGGAGAGAGTCAAATGAAAAAAATCATCAGCAGGAAGGGGGAAGGGAACGTCTCAAGAGGAGGAGGGGTCCCAGGATAGCTACAGATTTGTGTAGGTCCAGGGATCATACCCAACCTTCTCCTTTAGAGTACAATGCAATGGGTGCTGTACTTCAGCAGGGCCAAACTGCAGAGGAATGGGTGTTGAGTGCAATGGCTAGTGGGAGTCCACAGTGCTGGACTATGAAGAGAGAGGAGTGGAATGCTGCGGGTAGAGAGTGGAGCCAGGAGGTTGATAAGAGTGTGTTGGTGTGTGTGGAGCGCATGGGAAAGAGTTTTGTGACAGTGGCTGCAGGGGAGGGCGGGCATGGAGCTGCTCGGTTTGAAGAGCTAGTATTGCCTGGAGCGTGCCCACTTGGCGCTCCATAACGTTTAAGAGCCACTCCGTGGCTTCTTTCTGGTGTGCCGCATTCTCCTTTCGGTCCTTCTTCTCGCTATCCCATCACTCCTTCAGTTCCTGCTTCTCAGCAGCAGAATGCATCATAACCTCACGGAGAACGTCCTCCTTAGTTCTTTGTGGCCGCTTTCTAATTCTGTGCAGCCGTTCTGCCGCCAATAAGGGAGGCTGGCCTCCCAGTGTCATCTCTGAAGTTTAAATGCAACATTATACAGAAGCAGTATTCTTTGCAACACAGACAACACTCATTCAGTGCAACACAGCCAGTACTCTCACACCTGTCACTGACTGGCTGACCCCAGGCAAGCACACAAGACCCCCAAAATGGTGAGTAGCCACAGGAGCAGGGTGAATCACTCTTCCCGGACCCTGCTGTACACTGGGCACGTGGCTCAGCTCGCACTGTATGGGGGGCTTGATAATCATTCCTGTCCCCACACTTTCCACAGGATGTGATCATTATGGAAGATATCTCGCTGCTGAGGGTGAGCAGGGAATCAAGGGAGGGTCTTCTCCAAGCCTGCAGCTTCCGCCCTTGCCCCTACGCGGCTTGCCTGTGTGATGGCACAGTCGCGCAGGAAAGTTACCGTTAATGGGGCAAGAAACAAAGCAGCTCTGCCGAGGAACCTGTGGCAGTGAATTGCCCAGTATCTCCATGAGAGTTTCCTGTGAAGTGAGGGAGTCTATCAACAGTCTGTTTCGCCGCTCAGAATAGGCATGCGGTGGGAGACAAGCCTGATTTCTGCACCCTCCTGCCCCCAACAAATCGCTTCAGCAATTTCCAAAATCAGATTCACTTACCAGGAGCCTCCTCTCCTGTTTGCACTTCGCCAAGATCTGACTGCTGTGACTGGCTAGCCTCCTCCGGGGTAGAAAAGAGCTCCTGACTGCATGCATCTCCAGCCTCTGACTCATCCTCTGCCTCTGGTTCCCCCTCCCCCTCTTCATCCAATATTGCCTCCTCCTGGTTCGGTCCACTCTCAACTGGCACGTAAGCCAATGAAGTATCCACAGGGGACTTCGCAGTGGAGATGGGGTCGCCACCGAGTATCGCGTCCAGCTCTTTGTAGAACCGGCAGCTCGTGGGCGCAGCACCGGAGCTGCGGTTTGTCTCCCATGCCTTGGGGCAGGCATTCCGCAGCTCCTTCACTTTGACCCTGCACTGCAGTCTTGGCCCCTTTCTGTCATGCCTTGTGAAATCTATCCGTAGGTATCATAATTCCGTGTGACTGCACAGCTTCCTCTCCCCAAATACCGATGAGGTCCAGCAGGGATCGCCTGGTGCATGGAGCAGGCGTGGCCACCTGGAAAGATGCACTGAGACCACTGCACGCATCACCAAGCAAACAGGAAGGGGACTTTCAAATTTGCAAAGGAATGTATGGGGTGGGGATGACGGTTGGTCACCTGAGGGCAGGGAAGTAGAGTTCAAACTGATGACCAGAGAGGCGAGAACAGGCATTGTGGGACACCTCCCGGAGGCCAGTCGCAGCACTGTAACCGCGACGTTGTCTACACTGATACCACAGCGCTGTAGCCCTGGCGCAGAAAGCTGTACGCCTCTCGTCAAGGTGGGTTTTTTTAGAGCATTACAACTGCGCAGTGTCTACACAAAGTGGCTTGGCAGTGTGCACACCGTGGGAGTTACAGCGCAGAAAGCTGCTTTACTGCACAGAAACTTGCCAGTGTAGATAGGGCCTAAATAGACAAGACTGCCAAAGGATGGGAGGAAGGGGGAGACGCGCAGGGGAAGGGGAGGCAAGGGTCGCATGCCCCTCCCCAATTGCCTAGATGGGGGCAAGGGCCAGCTGCTGCTAGCAACTTCTGCCTTTGGGGCAGGGAGTTTGTTTATAAACAGAGGCAGGGTGATTAAGATAACAAAAGCCTTGTCATTAAATTAAGGATCATTAGATGATCCTGAAAGCATTCCCAGGTTCTCCAGTTAAGACAGGAAACAAAGAATAGGAATTCAATAAATGGTCCAGGAGAGAAGTAAGTAGAGGTGTCCCCAGGGGTCTGTACTGGTCTGGGATCAGTGCTGTTCAACATGTTCATAAATGATCTGCAAAAAGGGGTAAACAGTGAGGTGGCAAAGTTTGCAGATGATACAAAATTACTCAAGATAGTTAAGTCCAAAACAGACTGCAAAATATAATCCCAACAATACATACAAAATGATGGTGCTGTTGTTACCCATCAAGAAAGAGATCTTGGAGTCATTTGCAGTACTCTGGAAGCATTATGTTTCCAGAGTACTGTAAATGTATAAGAATCCTTCTCACTGTACCTATATCATCCTGAACTCATTCTCCACCTTCAGAAGACTTAAAAATGATCTCCAGTCATGAATGGGACAGATGTAACTAAATAATGTAGCTGTCCTTAACGTGCAGGTCACGTGGAGGGTCACTTTTTAGCTTTTAAACACCTTCAGCTGGTGCCCCTCTTTGTGTCCCTCCAACATGTCACCTAATACAGATTGTGCCTCAGTTCCCCGAGAGACTAAGGGCTAGTCTACACTGGGTGTAGTCGCGGCAGAGCTCTGGGAGAGAGCTCTCCCAAGCACTCTTAAAAAACCCATCTCTATGAGGGGTGCAGCTACCAGCCCTGGTAGCTGTGCCCGTCGTGGAGGTGTTTTTTCACACCCCTGAGCGAGAAAATTGCAGCGCTGTAAAGTGCCAGTATAGACAAGCCCTCAGTGACTAAGTGACAGGCGGTCTGTGGCATAGCTGGGAATTGAGCCCAGATCTTCTGAATCCCAACCTACTGCTTAACCACAAGACCTTACTTCTTCTCAAATAGGTACTACATCTGAGATTGTATTGCCCAAGCTACATTGCACAAAACAAGAGCAAAGAATAAGGAGTAGATGAAACTCTTCTAGTTACAATGTCACTAACCTGACCGATAAAAGTAAAGCCACGGTAATAGATTATATCCTATATGAAATTGCTAGCTATAAAAGTAGCAGCATATTTATAATAGGGTCTGAGGATTCCATCTCCCAATCTTTCTTTAAAATTCTATTGCTTGTTTTATTTTATAGTACCAAGAGGCAGGGAAAAGGAAAGGAAACAATAAGCAGAGACTTTACCATCAAATAAATCCTGTCCAATCTATTCAGTAGACATTAAGTTTTATTTTTTCTAGGTAGGCCACATAAGCTATTCTAGAGCTAATAATTGCAATTTATTCAATCCTAATGAGCAAGCCTCTTGCTTAACTGTAGCAGAGAAACATTTTCATAGCTGATACTCAGTAAAGGGGACTCCTTCCCCACTGTGCAGCCAGTACATCTCAACCTGGTCAGGGAATATTAGAGACATTGGTAGTCTCCATATCCTATCCTGGGGACTCCACTACCACTGGATTATAAAAGCACTTCATCTCCCATCAAGGAAAGATGTATGCTTTTTACACCTTCTAAAAAATCTAGAGCATTAAAGCAGGAAGGGCTTACTCTAAGCAGCTTGAGGATTAGTGGGAGTTGCCAGGATACTTAGCACAGTAATACTCATCCTTTTTGCTTTGGCTTTTTCATAGAAAGTAAAGCCAGGAGGATGCTGTAGTCATGGCTGTGCTCACTGTCACAAAAAAGGTCAAGGTCACTGCCATGGTGAAAATCACAAGCAGGGCCATGGCCATTATCAAGAAAAAAGTTCTGGCGTGAGCTGCTGCAAATTAATCTTCCATTGTTACCCAGTGAAGTTTTCCTGTTCTCTGCCCAAACTGTAGTCAGTGGCACCCATCTGACACCATGCAATACAATGTAATTAAGTCTTTTCTACTCATAACTAGGCATACTTAGCGATGCACTTTTGGAAAAGAAAAACAGTCCGGGTGTTCATATTCTTTGTAATACAAGTTATTCTTGTGAATCCAGTTCAGTAATTGTTTAAAAAGTAGAGTCACACTGGTCCCAGGTGACCTCTCCCTTAAGTGCCCTGGCCATCTATCTCCCAGAGCCGGGCAGTTATGCACACCCCCTTGCTAAAATCCCTGTAAAACACAGGCCCGCTGTCTTTAGGAACCGGGTAGCGCTCATACCAGCGTGGCAGCAGCAGGCCGTGTCCGAGGGCCGGGGCCAGCTGCACTCAGACGGGAGGAAGCAGCGTTGCTCCACTTGGGCTAACGTGTGTGCGCGGGGGAGCAGCGCGGCTCCGGGGAAGGTCAGGCTCTCCTCGAGGGGGTGCTGCCCGCCCCTGGAGCAGGCCCACTTACCAGCTGGGGCAAGGGAAGGTCTCCATGCCAGGGCTCGCTCCCCCGCTCCTGTGCTGCCAGGACACCTGGTACCAGCCGCTGGTGCTTCCCAGGGCTCCCTCCCCCGCCTCTCGGGGCCAGCGTCAGCGGCGGGTTCCCAGCCTCGAGACTGGTCGTGGCCCCGCCCCGCTCTCAGCCCGGCGCCGCTATTGGGCCACGCACGCGGCTCGGGCCCCTCCCTCGCCCCGCCCCGCGCCCTCTGCGCTTGCGCAGGCGCCCCGCCCGCGGGGGGCGGGCGTTCAGCACCGCCGAGCGCCGGACAGCTCCTTTCCCTCGGCAGCCGGAGCCTGCAGCGAGCCCGGGCGAGCCGCCGCCGCGGGGCGCGGAGGCGAGGCCATGGAGGGAGCGCCGGCCCCGCAGGCGCAGGAGGAGCCGGCGGCCGCCGAGGAGCGGGCGGAGGGGAGGCGCCGGGAGCAGGGGACCTGCTCGCCCAGGTATGACCCGCAGCGCGTCCCTGCACAGCCACCCGGCCCCGCTCGCCTGGGCCTCCCCGCACCGCCGCGGGTCCCCTCCCTCGGCCCGGCGCCAGCCCCTGCCCCGCGCCGCTGCCTCCAGAGGCTCCTTTCCCCGCCTGTCCGCGGCGCCCGGGGACCCGCTGCCTCCCGCCCCCTGCGCCGGCCCCGCCTGGCCCCCGCGGCTGGGATGGCCCTGCTATCCCCCCAGCGCGGGGCCGGGCGGCGGGGACTGCTGCCGGCCCTTCTGAGCCCAGGCAGTCGGGGGTGGGTGAGGGAGCTCCCCATGGGGGCTGCCAGCCTTCACGCCCCCAGCTCGCCTCCTCCTGCCCCCTCCAGGCCTCGCTAAGGTGCAGCACGGTGCGAGTCGCCAAAAGGGTGCGCAGCAGCTGGTGGCGAGAGTACCCGCCAGCCTCCAGCTGCGATTGGCTTTGATCATCCAGTATCACCTGAAGAAGAGACTCGCTGCTAAACACAGGGCTTTCCAGTTCAGTGGGGATGGGACTAACGCCTGAGCATGTTTCACTGATGTTATCAGACAAGCCCCTCTGCACATCTGTCTCCAGATTGGTTTGGCGTTTATCCTCGAATTAAAACGACACACGCTGCCCTAGAGAACCGAAGAGAACTGCCTGTCGCGTCAGCCAGGATTTTCTCAAACAGGGGAGAATACCTAATTCACTTGCCTCATGATTGCACAAACAAGGGAAATATATGCAGATTTTGCACCTATTTCTAGTTCCAGTGTAACATTGAAGGGCAATTAACGTGGGCTGTGGATGGTGTCCTACAGAATAGGAGCCGCACTCCGCATGATTCTGGGGATGACCTATGCCTCAGTAACCGCCACATTTATGACAAGGAAGAGGGAAGCCATTCATGACAGCTACAGATCTGTGAATGGCATTTTTCCCTGCAGGGCACAACAGAATAAAATTCTAACCAGATAATACCAAAGTAAGGAGGCTGAAAGATAGTCATAAGGGAAGACAATGATGTGGCATTAGGATGTAAGACCTGAAAGCATTGGGAATACCTACCTGTTTTATTAGACTGCTTCTGCCTTTAAATAAGGAGACATACACACACTACAAACCTCTGTGGGTGTGGATATGGAGATAATTCTATACCAGAGTGACAGAGAGCTAATCAGATAGTTAGCTGTCAAGTGCTGTTTGCACACACACATTCTGATTTCTCTGTTTCCAATTGATTTGGCATGCAAAACTGTGAGCCCCATATATCATTATGATCTGCATTTGCCTGGGCATGTGATTTAGCCTTATGAATTATAATTTCTGTAACAAAATATGATATATTGTTAAAGAAGTTATTCTTAGTATTTATTATGTGCTTCTCTTAGCATCCATAATGTGCTAGTTGCTGTACAAACACAAAAGAGGGCACATTCCTTGCCCCCAAAAACTTTAATCACAGTCTAAACAAAACTCTGCAGGCTTGGTCATGTCCTTTATGCTATATGTCCCAATGCATAGCTTACAAAATCAGTTACTATGCATATATGCACCCTTACAGTAATTTTCCTATGGAGCCCAATAGTCATGTTGTTATAGGGTAAAGGCAGCCCTAAATATTTAAACAGATTTTCATTTGTTATTCAGGAGGCATAGGTCTTCCAAATTATCTAGATTTTCTAGTTGATCAGTGCATAGCAGAAGATCAGACTAAACTAAATATATACATAAAGGCAAAGAGTTTCACTTTTGCCTAGTACAAATAATAAACTTTACATTAGTGCTGAGATTATTCCAACCTGTCCAAGGAAAGTGGGCAGTCACATCTCCTTAGATAGCTTTGAAAATCTCAGGCAAGAAGTCTGTGAGTTTTGGTTAATAAAATATTCATGTACTATTCTAAAAATAAACCCTTCCTGTAACCATTTCACAACAATTTTTTGGGAATCTGGTGACATAGAAATGACCAGTCAAATCCTGCAACATTTGCTTACTTGAATAATCCTTGCTCAGGTGAGCAGCTCCACTGAAATCAATAGGACTGTATGCATGAGTTACAATTACATGTGTGAGTAAAGATGGCTGGCAGAATCAGACTCCACTTTGACCTTTATCTTGTGGTTTATAGTCTCATGCTCAGTTACAATATAATTTATTGTAATAATGTATAATTAGGCAGTGCCTCCTCCCACATATTATATATATATATATATATATATAAATATATATACACATAGACATTTGTATGTGGCTTTCTATACAGATCTTGTGTGTGTGTGTATGTGTGTTTGTAAACTAAACATTTAACTTCACATTTCCTGTCTATTGTGAACATTCTACTGAATTTACCATCAGATAGCTATTGATGCCTCAAAAGAATAAGTTTCCTTGGACCTTTTCTAGACTAGGATATAAAGGTGTTGTTTTGGGTGTTTGTTTGTTTAAGTGTATTAGTTGACATTTTAACTAACCCATTGTGTACACAGGGCAAATTGTACTTCGAAATTGTAGAATCATAGGGTTAAAAAGGACCACAGGGGTCATCTAGTCTAACCCCGTGCCAAGATGTGGATTTGTTGTGTTGTGTCTAAACCATAGAAGACAGATCACTATCCAGTCTCCTTTTGAAAACCTCTAGTGAAGGAGCTTCCACAACCTGCCTAGGCAGTCTGTTCCATTGTCCTACTGTTCTTATAGTTAGGAAGTTTTTCCTGAGATTTAATTGAAATCCACTATGCTGCAGTTTGAACCCATTGCCTCTTGTCCTGCCCTCTGTGGCAAGAGAGAACATCTTTTTATGGCAGCCTTTCAAGTATTTGAAGATTGCTATCATGTCCCCCCTTAACCTCCTTTTTTCCAAACTAAACATACCCAGTTCCTGCAGCCTTTGCTCATATGGCTTGCATTCCATCCCTTTGATCATATTTGTCACTTGCTTCTGGATCCTTTCCAGTTTCTCTACATCCTTTCCATACGCTGGTGACCAAAATTGGACACAGTACTCCACTTGAGGCCTTACCAGCACCGAGTAGAGAGGTACTATCACCTCCCATGACTTGCATGCTTTGCCTCTGTTAATGCAACCTAAAATTGCATTTGCCTTTTTTGCAACAGCATTGCATTGCTGACTCATGTTGACATTGTGATCCACCACAACTCTCAGATCCTTTTCTACAGTGCCGCTGCCAAGCCAGTTATCCCTTATTTTGTAGTTATGCATTTGGTTTTTCTTCTCTAAGCATAGTATTTTACATTTGTCTTTGTTGAATTTCATTTTGTTGTCTATAGCCCAGTTCTCCAATTTATCAAGATCCCTCTGAATTTTAGCTCCATCTTCCAAAGTGTTGGCAACCCTCCCTTGCTTTGTGTCATCTGCAAATTTGATCCGTGTGCTCTGTATTCCTACATCCAGGTCATTAATTATATTAAACAACACCAGACCCAGAACAGACCCCTGTGGAACCCCACTTGAGACTTCCCTCCAATCTGACATCATTCCATTAATAGGTTTCAGAGTAGCAGCCGTGTTAGTCTGTATTCACAAAAAGAAAAGGAGTACTTGTGGAACATTAGAGACTCTCAAGGTTCCTTCCCCACTCTGAACGCTAGGGTACAGATGTGGGGACCTGCATGAAAACCTCCTAAGTTTACTTTTACCAGCTTAGGTTAAAACTTCGCCAACGTACAAACTATTTTACCCTTTGCCCTTGGACTTTTGCTGCCATTACCAAAGATCTAACACCGGTATTATTATTATTAGGAAAGAGTTTGTTTGGAAACGTCTTTCCCCCCCAAAATCCTCCCAAATCTTACCCCCTTTTTTCTGGGGAAGGTTTGATAAAAATCCTCACCAATTTGCATAAGTGACCACAGACCCAAACCCTTGGATCTTAAGAACAATGAAAAAAGCATTCAGTTTCTTAAAAGAAGAATTTTAATAGAAGAAAAAGTAAAAAAGAATCACCTCTGTAAAATCAGGATAGTAAATACCTTACAGGATAATTAGATTCAAAACATAGAGAATCCCTCTAGGCAAACCTTAAGTTACAAAAAGACACAAAAACAGGAATATCCATTCCATTCAGCACAGCTTATTTTCTCAGCCATTTAAACAAACAGAATCTAACACATATCTAGCTAGATTACTTACTAAGTTCTAAGACTCCATTCCTGTTCTGTCTCTGGCAAAAGCATCACACAGACAGACCCAGACCCTTTGTTTCTGCCCCCCTCCAGCTTTGAAAGTATCTTGTCTCCTCATTGGTCATTGTGGTCAGGTGCCAGCGAGGTTATCCTAGCTTCTTAACTTTTTACAAGTGAAAGGGTTTTTCCTCTGGCCAGGAGGGATTTTAAAGGTATTTACCCTTCCCTTTATATTTATGACAGAGACTAACAAATTTATTTGAGCATAAGCTTTTGTGAGCTACAGCTCACTTCATCGGATGCATCCGATGAAGTGAGCTGTAGCTCACGAAAGCTTATGCTCAAATAAATTTGTTAGTCTCTGAGGTGCCACAAGCATTCCATTAATAGTTACTCTCTGTTTGTGGTTGTTTAACCAAATATGTATCCACTTAATGGTAGTTCTGCCAAGCCCACATTTCTCCAGCTTACTTATCATAATATCCTGCAGGACTGTGTCAAAAGTCTTGCTGAAGTCCAGGAATATTAT